AGTAAAACTAAAAGTGTATTTCTCTATGCTGGTGCAGAGGTAAATGCATCATTAATTATTCTTCTTGGTTGTATTATCTAGTGCTCTTCAGTGAAGATCAGTTTGAAGGATAGTGGACACTCTGTCACAAACAAAAATCCAAAGTCAGCTTTTTGTCAAATTTCCTATCAGTTTGTCATGGAAACAGTATAAAACTTCCCTAAAACATGCCTAGAACTAGCAGAACATGTACATTAAGTGCTATATTTCACCACACCAAGGCACTAAACAATCCTTCCCTCCTTTAAACCCACTAACATCACTTGACAGAGCATTCATTTATCTTATGGACAGACAGAGAAGGAGAAACCCGAGTGAAAAGCACTACTTATTCATTCTTTCTCAGAGAGAGAAGGACAGAAAGTGATTTATATGTGGTAGAAATATGTTAACATAAGCAATAGTATCTCTGTGGAAATTAGACAGGCAGTAAGAAAGCTTTCTTATGGAAGTAAAGAAAGCCTGAGCTGAAATTTGCTTTTCTATTGGACTAAAACTTGTCGAAATTTGAAATTTCTTTTGGTACCAAGTTTCAAAATACCATGTGTGTTTGAATCTGACATATTACTTAGTTCGTTTCCAACCCTGTTATTACAAAGGGCTTTCAACACTTCTCTCAGACAGAGATTCAGAGGATTAATTCAGACAGCATACTGCAGATTTGTACTTCTGTCTATGTCTACGAAAATAGACTTAAGTGATGAAACAGAGGGGAGCTTCCTAGGATAAATGAAACACAACAAAACTACAAGGGAAAACACAACTGGTCAAATTCACAGTCCCTGTCAGCCCATAACAGTGAATCCCTGGCACAGCTGTTGCCAAGATTGTTCCAGCATTGACTGTGGTAACTGTGCAGTACCTGTTTCTGCAGGGCTTGCAGCCATTCCCCGGTCACACCTGAGGGCACACACGTGCTCACAGGGGTGTGTGCACTGCCAGGGCTACCCCTGAGCTGCTGTTCAGATAAGATGCCTGGCTGGGCGTTCCCTCAAAGGTCACCACTTCTTTATAATGCTGCAAACCCCAAAGAGTGCTGCCAGGTGCACTAAGTGGGTATTGAGGGGCTCAGGTCAGCTTAAATTATCCTTCCAGGTGTTGATTTTCAATCCTTTGACCCTATGTACAGTACTGCAGGTTTTCTCCTGCTGACTGCTGCTGCACAAGGAGTAGAAGTGTAGTTTTTGTTGAGGCTGATGGCATTGCTTGCAAGCTTGAATACTCTGAATATGTTGGATCCCAGTTAGTTTGGAAATTTGCTCTCTTATTCTGTGGTACCACCAGATTAGATATCTTTTCTGAAATTAAGCCAGATGTTCTGTCACCATGGCCAGGAAGAGATATGGCCAAAGTCTTACCCATGGTGAGCGTGGAAATTTTAACTGACACAGTTCAGAGGATGAAGCAACACCCTCAAGGTAATGCCTGGTCAGGCAAATATGTACCACAGGGAAAAACTCATCCTGTCAGCTTATTCCATATACGACTTGTGTCACGATATCCCACACACAGCCAGGAAAAGAAATAAATAAAGAAAGAAAGTGCTAGTTTCAGACTTCTTGGATGGGCCACATACTTCAGTAGAAATTGTGACAAAATTCTCAAATGTTGAAGGACCTAAAAGCCAGGAAGAAAGTGAAGGCCTCCACCTGCGTGGCCAAGGACACCTCAGCCTCTTTAAACTTGAAAAATAAACACACTAGCCATTCAGTTGTTGTGTTTACAAGAACAGTAAAAAAACCCTGAAGAATCTGGGAAAGAAAAGCTCTTTGGTGGGAGCTGGATTCCACAGGAGTTAATTTGAATTTCCCCAGCCAGCTGGAGCCGAGGGAAAGCTGACTTTCCACTACCCTGCACCTTGTAGAATCATTTACACTTCTCAAGTGGATGTAAAAACACGTTCAGACACTAACAGAACCATTTAACACCCACTTTGCAGAGGTGTTAATGTCTAAACAGAGCATTAAGGTCATAGAGAGCTGACCCAGAGTCATTCAATTAGGAGCGACTGCTGAGGAAGCGCAGGCTCCTCTCCTCCAGGGCAATGACAGCCGGGGGCTTTCCCCTGTTTCCCAAACAGGAGCCTTTCTGCAGGGGCACGCTGCGATGGTTACCAAAAGCTGTTCAGAGGAGGTTACCTTTTGGTGGGTGGGTGTCACACGTGCTGGAGAGCTGCGTCCCCACGACCTCCCACCCCGAGCGGTGCCTTCTGAGCAGACCCGTGGTGCTCTGCCCGCTACCACCCCATAGGGGTTCTGTCCCCATAGGGCACTGCCATGCTGCTGCACTCCACTGGAATGAGAGCACAGAGGGAAGTTAGGGCAGCCAGGACTGGCCCAATATGGAGCTTGTCAACCCAGAGCACACCTGGTGCACCTGAGCAAGAGATGTGACCTGATGAAGTGCTGGTCTCCCCAGCTGGAGAGGTGCAGCTCCCTCAGGGCAGAGCTGGCTTCTGAGGGTGGAGGGCATCAACTGCTAAAGTGGTGGGAAAGCCCCAGAGAGAGCAAGAGCAGTGTGGTCAAGGTGCCATTATGCCATGTTTGGGAAAGGGACTGTGCCTGGAAAGAGCAGAGCAGACCCAACTCCCTGCAGGGCACTGTGCCTGGCCCTGCTGCCTCATGGGCACCCTTGTGCTGGAGACTGAACTTCAGCGTTTCCCACCACGTTCCCAGCCAGTTCTCTTTCCCCAGCCCTCTGTGAAACTTGCTGTGTATACACTGAGAGCAACATTGATAAATGCTACACTCTAAAATAAAATTGATGGTGGTTCCTCCTTCTGCTGTCCTCCTATGTTTTCGTGAGGGTTAGAGAGCACAGAGCCAGCTGAAAACAGGGGAGGTAGAGAACAACATTAACAGGAACAAAGGATGACAGGGGAACTTCTTGTACCTACAAATATATTTCCCAAAGCACATAATGAAAAAAAGAAATGAGACAGAAAGAGAGGACAAAGGAAGATGAAAATATGCCACAGGTGGTGAAAACACTGAAACCGCCACCCACCTCAGTGCCAAAAATCTCAATTAAAAGGTGACAGGTGTGTAACTTTGTTTTGAAGGGAAAAAAATGCCCCATAAGAGATGTTGGCGGGTTTAGAAAATAAATGTCAAATGTGTTCAGCCTTGCCTTTGAGCAGTGTTTCTTTTCAGTTGTCTTTTGTTTTTGTAAATTTTATTTAGTTTCCTGCAGTTCCCTTGCCAGCTCTGTCAGTGCTGGCCATAGATCTGAGAGATGTTGGCCGATCTCCCCTCTAACGGCTGCTCGACTTCCCTGCTGTGCTCAGGGCAGGTTTTACTTGTTCCCAAGCAAGACAGGCCCCTCTGTGCTTTAATTGCTTCGCAGCCACTCTGGCACCAGCTGAGGTCACCCTGAGTGACTGCGGCAGAGAAACAGCAGTAACTCCAGCCAGTGGTATTGTGACGGCTTTTAAAATGCAAAAGGAACAGAGACCCAAGATAGAGTACTGCAGGCACCTTTCCACTTTTAAATAAACTAAGAGCAAATACAAGTGTAAAACTCAACCGTGGCTTTTTATGGTCTTGTCTCCTTTTAATTTAAACCTCTTCTATTTAAGAAACAATGGTATATAGAAAGTGTTCCTGCAGTGGCAGAGAAAGAGAATATACCCATTTTGACTAGGGAAAAATCTGGATTTGCCCCAGATTTATGCTCCCTGCTGCATTTGGCAATCCTCCCCTTTCATTCTCTGTTCAGGTGGTGCTGTCTCCAGCGGTGGTCAGGCATGGCATGCGGACTGAGATGGATGTTGGAAGTCAACCTGGAAAGTCTTTAGAAATGAGCTAGGACACAGGACTTCATGAACTATCCCACTGAAGAGCCATCAATGCAACAACCTGACAGAACCTCTGTCTGGAAAAATCCTTGTAAAAGAGTGTTCTGTTCATTTCTAGCCACCCCTGTAGGATTTCCATGTGAAACATGGAGCCTGGGAGAAAAGGCTGAAGTTTGCTTTAGAGGATGAGTCACTCTGATCATCCATGCCAGGGGTTGGGGAGAGGAAAAGGAGCATGAAGAGGTAGCAAAGTTCTTCCGCCGTTATATGGGCCCTGGCAGTGGAGTCACTGCTGAGGAGAGAGAGGCTGTGCCCCAGGGAAAGCAGGTCACTCCTGGGGCAGAGAAGCACTTGGAAAGCACTTCCTGGATCATTGGCAACCTATCTCAGAACCAGCTCCTGCTGAAGAGAGCCAAAAGATTCCCGCTGGTGCACTTCTGCATACAGGTCTATACAAACATGGATAGTACCTTTTTCGTATATTAAAGGCCACTTTTTTTCACAAAGGGAGAAAAATTTCATCTCAGTGCCACAAATTACTGTTTCTTACTGGGTTCTTTATTAACTACTTGCTTACTTGCTCTTGGAAACCTTTTTAAATTACAAAATGTCTTCTTCAAAATATTAGGGGGAATGCCTTCTTAAAAAAGTTGTGGAGTTCCTCTGCAAGAGAGTTCCCCTGCAAAGTTGTGAAGTTCCTCTACATCCCAATGGATGTAAATATTCAGTTTGGAAATAGGAAGATTATGCTTACTTTTAAGTAGATATTTTAGAGCTTCATAGAGAGTGTGATGAGTCCCTCTCCCATTTGTGGATATTCTTCAAATGGAGATCTTTGAAGGGGGAGTCTTTCAAGTGAGCATCTTCCACCCAAACTGTGAAAAGTACTTAGGGAAAAATTTGTCTGCTCTTCAGAGAAATCTTATCCTAAGGATTAAGTTGAGGATGGCACTCATGGCATTAGATGCAAGCAGGCATGACTTGCAAATACTAACCTATTACAGTAATTAATTCATTTCCTCCAACAAATGGTGCGATTAAAAATGTGCCTAGGGAATGCTATAAATATACATCTATGACTTGACTTTTCTTCCAGGAATCTCTGGCTAATCCCCAGTGAATAACCTGTCTCTTAAACCATCAAAAGAAAATGAACAGCCAAATATTTTAAACTATTGCTTTTTATTATAATTACACTGGAGCACAAATAAATAAGCACTAAATTATTGTAAAATATTGTCAATGCACTAAAGAAAGCAGAATTGATCTTCAAACAACATCTTATTACTTCAGAAGTATCAAAGTACATTTAATTACATCTTACCTAAAAAAATCAAGTACAAAAATGAAAAGAAAATTAATATGTATTTATACTGTGTATATAGAAACGGCTAATAATATATGATTACAGTTAGCCTCTAGCTACTCCTTATTCCTACACAATCTCAGGCACATACCTGACAATTTCTAATGAAATATAAAAAAAAGCAACATGACATTCAATTTCAAGATATTGGTAAATGTATTACATCGGAATGAACACAGAATGATTTCATTTTATTTAAAAACCCTGTCATTTAAAAACATAGTGCCATTGTCCACTTAAAAATAAACAACCCAAACAAAAAAAAACCCCATACTATTTTATACCATTTGCTTTAATTTGTCAAAAGGAGCGATAAAGTAGACATACATTGGCTAATATACGTAAACACATTTTTAGTGCAAGAATAACAAGACCTGTGACTTTACTGTGCTTTCTTGAAATCACAGTGCACTTTACACAAATTGCTACACTATAATGTTTACCTTCAGGAGTTTAAAGCAAAATAAGTGCATACCAAACAATTTCATATATACAGTCTTCATAAGTGTGTGTATATATGTGATCTGTATGTATATACAGATTGCATATTTATACAGACTACAGCTTTAATGACCGTGTGTAACTAAGCACTGTCATTCACCCTGTGACGCAGAAGCTGCTGAGACAAGAGGTGCTGTAGGGAATGTTTAACAGCGTTGTGATGGCAGCTGTCGGCAGCACGATGTGCCTTTTACTCGAGGGATGGGGTGGGCCAGCAGTCAGGGGACAGGTCAGTGGCCTATGTCCTGTCCTGGCTCTGTCCATGACCTTCAGAAACTACTCCACCCAAGCCTCACTTCCTGCCTCTGTAAAACGGTTCTCGCAAGTGTGAGGTTTACTTCACATTTCTAAAGTGCTTTGAAGGTAAGTGCTAAGTTATATTTTACCTCATCATGTTGTCGCGCTTTGAAACAAAAAGCCATTGTTTCCATGGGATACAATGGAGGTCTGGAAGCACATGGGCAGTTATTTAGGAAGGACAACACAAACAGTGTTGAGCAATAAAAGCAAAACAAGGAGTGGTTTGTGGTGGGCTAAGTGTACAAGCAAGTCTGCTTAGGACAAGAATGCTTCAATTCCCTGATCATTATTCCTATTACATATTGATATGAAAAGGACACGATATGAACAAACACTGTCAAACACGTAACTGTTCACATTAACATCTGCCTTCCCCCAAAGGGCCGGGCGCTGCAGCCCACGGGTCTGGACTGTGACACTGCTTCAGCAGTGGGGTTTCAAAGGAACTGCTCCGGGAAGAGACCAGTGTGGAGAAGGACTATCAAGATTGACTGAACGCCAGCTTTCATTTTGTCACCAGAGACCCTGTGCAGTTGGGGGAAAGGGCTGAGCTAAGTATTTCACACATGGTTATGGAAAATTCTTCTCTTGCCACATTACAAGGAAGGCAAAGCATAAACACTTTCTGGATAATGAACCTGTTATCTCAACAGATTTCTCATGACCAACAAGTTGTCTTCTTTCCAGCAGATTCTGGAACATTGTGAGATCTCTGGAGTTTTTCTTCTGCCATTTTCTTTCTTTAAAAAAAAGAGAATAAGCAGAATATACAGTTGGTGTCTTTTGGATGTAACATGTATCCAAAGATTCCTTCACAGCCTCTGTGGTTTTTTCATGTCTTCTGTCATTTCAGCTGTGAAGGGCTCTTTAAATCCGCATTTCAATTGTGTACCCATTCCAGCCACTGTATATTCCTAACACACCCATATTTAATGTATGCAGGTATATACGTATGCACACATCTATGCGTATATAGAGATACATGCATATATACATATATATGTGTGTACACATATGCATATATACATATACAATAATGCTAATATACATACACACATATAAACACACACTTTATCTTTTACAGAAATCTCAGTTTGGACATCAAAATATACATTAGTTAATTAGTTATAAAATATTTAAAAACTTTATTTCAGAGGCTGAAAAGAAACTACTACTGATAAAGCATTACTCAAACTCAAACTTTAGCAATATAGATTACAAAAACCTTCTAAAATTTGTTATTTTTGGTTTTTTTTGATCAGCAATTACAGCTGTGGCAATGCTGTCAATATAATTTCAAAGAAAAGCCAATATAACAAGAAGTTTCAAACAACACACCTTTTCTTCTCGGCAAATATAATATTAAAATGATTGTTTTAAAGAGGGACATTTGTGCTACCAAACTTCAGACACATAGATAGAAATTTAAATATACAAAATATATGCCATAGATCTTTTCTTTCCCTTACTCCACAGAAGTACAAGGTTCCCTTGTTCTCAACAGATCATTTTGGAAGATATTTCATCGCATGGATTTCACCCTCATAATCAGTATAAGCCATCTCTTTCTCCCGTTAAAACCAGGAGGTCATAATTCTTTGGTCATGACATAATATTCTGTTAAAATGGGTGTAATATAATACAGGATTGCAAGCCAATTACAGAAGCAGCCAGGAAGAAGAAGCGGCATAGCCGGGAGAACACGTTACGTGGGCCTCTGCTTCAAAACCGCATGAAATCAAGAGGGATTTCCCTACTGGCTTTCAAGGGGCCTGAATTCCAGCCTTTATAAACAACACAAGGAAATCTGACACAGCGTAAGTAAGGATGTGTTGCTGGATTTAAAAACAATAAAAATGTAAACAGGTTTTTGTCGCCTTTATTTTTCTGGACCAAAGACAAATGTGGACAGGAGTGGTGGCTGCGGTGGCACTGCCTTAACCTGCTGAGCGACCGGGTCTGTCCGTCACGGGCTGTACAATGCTTAGTCACAGTGAACCATGGTCTCTGCTAATCAACTGAATGCAATGAAGGAAGAGTTTTGTTGCAGGCTTTGCTGCAGAAAATTTAGATTCTTGGCCAAATAATTTTAGCAACTGATTCATATGAAACCAAGGGCAATTTATCTGATTAACGTTATGGGGAAAACAGATGCAGAACAATTAATATTTTAAATGCAACTTGGGCATCCACATTAAGCACTTCGGCTTGCAGTTTCACTGTTTCCCACCAGAACTCTCTCCTTTGTCCATCCTCCCCCACCCCCCCCAAAGCTAAGGACATCTAACAAGTACAACTCTAGTTATCTTCTACAGCCCTAGCACCATGTTTTTTTGTACATTGTACTCTTCAACAAAATGTACAACCACATGCTTTTGTACAGAGGCCACATCTAGGCAGGTCAGAGAAATAAAATGGTGGCAGCGGGGGTGAACAGTAGAAGAAAACATAGAAAATAGGTAATAAAACAGTATAACAGTAACATTATATAGTAAAATTCTTCATAAATTTTTGAATTTTATATATATATATATATTTAAACAGTGTATTAGTTTGGATGTTTTCAATATATTGGCGAAATATTTACATTTTGATATCTTCCGGATCCAAAAAAATCCTGGATAAATATGTATGTCTTAATCCAGTCAGAAACGTAAATCTCTCTCTTGATTGACAGGTGAGCACTGTATGGGTGTGGTTTTTTTTCCTAGGAAGTTCACCACCTGCAGATAAGTCTTAGGTTAGAGCCTTTGCCTTATTAAGAAAGCAGGCTACCTGTGCTCGGTGCAACACAGTGGAGAAGGTATCCTCCACAGGCCTGTCAAATGGCAGTGTCCCAGAACACAGTTTGTTGTTTGGAATAAGGAGGAGGGCTGTATTTCTTGGTCCCAGTATTCTTTTTCCAACTCGGCAAAATAGGCATGCTGTCCTGTTTGCAGAGTCCTTTCTCTGATTTCTGTCGAGCTTTTATTTCTTTGCAGAGGCAACGTTTTTTTTCGATCATATCCAGCATCGTATGGTCCCCTTGCAACCACTGCATACACGTGACCTATTGGAGAGGGGTAGAGGGAGAAAGAAAAGAAGGAAAAAAAAGAGGAAAAAAGCACACAAATAATTATTTTGGTCATAGATTAAATATGTTGTTTCTTTGCAAGGTCAACTTACTCTTATTTGAAACTCTAATTTGTTTGATGAATAAAAAAATCTCTATGCCAACAACAGATTCAAAGCTAGTCTTTACTTCTAACTACTTCTTTAAGAAAAATGGTAATAAAAGGTCCCTGTTTTAACTTCTCCAGAGCACTGAAAGCTAATAAAGATAAATGTTTTTGGCTAACTAGCACTGGTTGGATTTTAAGTGATGGAATAGATCTTAAAAAGGAACATGGATCTTAACAACATCCTTAAGTTTTGGAAATAAAAAATTCTATACATTGAAACCTATGTTTTATATTGCTTTCCAAATCCAATCTGTCATATTAAAAGCAGGGTGTTAACACTTCTGAGTATCAAGCTAAATATAACTCTGTTTAATTTTGTTAAAATGATTTAATGAACTCCATGTGAATTATATGGATTAACCTATCCTACCCTATGATGATATTTCATTAACTGAAAGGCACTAAGACTTTAGAAACTCCATGTTTTCATGCATGTAGAATGTCTGAAAATGTGATCTTGATCAAAAAATTGAGGTTAGCATGTGTTTATCTGTAAGTACATGTCACAGCCCCTCTGAAACCAAGAACATGGCTTAATTGGAGTTCAGTGGGTTGTTCACAATTGAAAATGTGTCTGCCTTCAAAGGCTTTTGATTGGAATTGAAATCGTTAATAGTAAACTATCCTGAAAGGGCTAATTGGTTTTGGATATCACACTGTATACCTGCAAATCAGAAAACTTCCTCTCACCGTTTTCTTTGCAAATTTAAGGGGATGTCTTGAGTCTCCCGACATGTATTTCCCACACTAGTCATGAATTAAGGATTTGTAAGTGTAAGCACACCACACATTCACAGGGGCTGTCCAAGTACATCTCTGCTCTTGTCATGAAAATGCACATGTACAGTAATACTTTGGCAGCATTTTATGATTCATGAAGGAAATGTATCTTTATTATTAAAGGTATTTGAGTACATTTAATTGTTCATATGCCTTTAGTTCACAAGTCTTAGAATGCTAACTGTGGGCATTCACCATGTTCCTAGAACTGGGGACTGGTTTGCTTAGAAGCCACTGTAGAAACTTCTATTGCTTTGAGTAGTTTTTGTGGTCAGTTTGAAGCATAGTCAGCATTTAATGATAAATAGATAAAGAAAATGTTCAGATTCATACCAGCAAACAAACCAAAAGAAACAAATGTGAGCAAGCCTACCAGAAAAATTAATAATAAATTACGTACTCAAACAGAAAAATAAATAGAATACAGAAATGTGTGTATTTTTTGGTTAAAAAAAGATAAGGAACAAAACAGGATAAAATAATTTTAGATAGAATTCTCTTTCTTTATAGTAACACAAAACCATGCTTACCTTATACACCAGATAGTACTCTGAGTAGAATAAGTTTAAACCACAACATGAATCTTGATATTGAATATTCTTATGAATTTTGAATTACACAGGCAACTTATCTGCAACATGTCCTCCTGAGTGGCCAAGCCATTCTTTGGGAAGTCTGCTATGCCTGCTTTATTAATTGAATACTTATCTTTCGTTTCAGGAGTGATCTAATGTTTACTGTGGTACAGGCACGTGTGAGGCACATCGTCTGCCACGACCATGAGACTTTGTCTCTTTGGGTGCCCAGGCTTGGTCCAAAACTCACTGACTGAACTGGAGATTCTGCCCTCCCCACCCTGGGCTCAACTCCACAGATGTCTGGATGAGGCTCTACCTGACACAGATTTCCTGCCCCTCTGCTTGTCAGTGATGAGTCAGTACTTACGCAGCAGTGTCTTCAGTGTGGCTGGGTCCTCCTACGCGGGGAAGGACAGGGACACAGTCTGCACACAATTCATTACCCAAAATATTCACCAGCACACCAGCTTCTGTGCTGGACTTGACGACAACAGCGCTTGAGTACGGCTTTCCTCTTCTAGGCATTGGGAAATACCTTCTCTTTTATAGCCCATCAGGCAAGCAAACAGAGCATGTGCCAATGCCAACCCCTTATGGAACGCGGTGTGCTCCCGTCACCATGCACCACACACAGCACACACAACAGTCACCGTGAGGGTGTCACATCCACACTGCCCCCACACCCACCACTGTACCACACGCAGTGTACTGCCAACACGGTGTCTTTTGGTAGCTGACCTCCTTCACGGGATTCAAAGGGACTAAAGCAGCATTTTGCCATGCTAATTTCTAAAATACCAGTTGCAACTTCCCAAAGACAGAGATGGTGTTGTAGAATGTATCAGTTACACGGCAACTCTGCCACCCCGTGCAAAACCGCCCCTAAAATAAACCTAAGAATAGGCAGCTTCAAAATCGTTTTTTATACCGGCCACTGTATTTTGTTACAGTTAGTGAATCATATATTATGGAGAATTTGAGGTTTTCCACTTTCCCAGACACAGATTTTCAAGTCTAGTTGTGATTTTTTGAATGCTATTTTTGTTCAATGTCAAAGTCCTTTGCACTAGCGTTTTCTTAGGTGTACTGTCCACATGGCACAGTCCTCTCCTGTACCTGCATTCAGGTAACTGTGTGTGCAGGAAAAATGTGCAGAGCTGGTACATGCAAAGTCATTTGCTAAAACAGACCAAGTGAACATATATGATGTGGGAAGGTTTGGGGAAAAAAGTTTGAATGTGAGAACAAATATGAAAGGGTTTTATTTGATAGTTTTGTCCAGTGTTTAAGTGCAGCAAATTAAAAATGTTTGGAACAGGGTGCATGGCCTCCTAAAGCTGCAGAAAAGACCTAAGAGGAAATCCTCAGCTTGTAGATCAATGAACTACAGATATGACAATAACCGTGTTGATGATACAAAGTCCCAGATGGTTAACTAAATTTTCAGGGTGTCCTAAACAAATAACAGGTGCTGAGGCTCACAAGCCAGGACTCAACCCAGCTGATTAATCACAGAAAAAGCCCTTGACGACTTCAGTAGGGCTACCAAGGTGTGTAAAGCTAATGCGTTTAACACTGCAGACTTAGGCCTAATCCTTTCTGTGACTAAACTGATGGCACTCACACTCAGTTACAGCACTAATTTTTTTTGTATCCTCCCTCCTTTCTGGCTTCAGCTTGTTCCTCTGGTCATGCACCAGGTTGTTAATATCCCTGCTAAATCATAACAAGGAATTTTTTCAGTGAGGCACATAAAATAATGATGTTACAAGATAATTTATGGAAAAAAGTTGAGCATTCAAAACACTTCACAGCTATACAGCTCTCCTGGGAAAGATCTCATAGTTCTTGAGGAATGGTACACATACTGCAGCATGTCAGAGCTTGGCTGCAGACGTGGATGTAGGCAGACAGGCAAAAAATGCATCAGCACTGGAGGTAAGAGCCAACAAGACACAGCACAGGAGAGACAAAGTTGGTTTTGACCTAAGAATCTTGGCCCAAAGCCTGTTCTTACTGAAGAGGAAAGAAAGAACCAGCACCTATGTTAGGACTGTAAGGAGGGACCTTCTGGAGACTCCAGGATGTGTATCAGGTACTACGTCACTTTTTGTTTTGAAGGAATTTTTGCTCATTAGATTATCCAGGGTCTAAGAAACTTTTTTCTTTCTTTTATTTTAAATCAGACAGAGCAAGAGAGTGAAGGAAAACACCAGGCAAAAGCCCAGAAGTTTGGACATTCATCATGGAGGGGTTGGAAGTAGGCTCAAATCCTCGATGCTAAGCAGGCAGTAAAAGCTATGTGACAACTTGGTGTAGGAAGCACGCAGGAACATAGAGTGGTTGGATAAATTCACTCACCTGAACATGACTGAGTGCAAGATTAAATGAGGATGTCTGACAAGTTCCTGGTAACCACACTAGACCTTTGATTAGTCATCAGTCTCCAGTCCTCCTTTAAAAATCTTCTTAAAAGCAAAGGCTTATGCCAAACTTGAACATCAATGACAAAAAGTAAGAAATGTCTTCCACTACACGAAACTGAATTCTTCTATTCTGTGTTAATCACCTGCATTGTTGAAGGCTTTAGGAGAAACCAGTCTATGTTGCGACCTTACTTTTACTATTTGCCTTCAGTTTTCTAATACTTTTATTCTGAAAACATTGGAAATAAATTTTATTAAGATCTGTTATGTACTCTTGGGTTCTATGTTGGCAGTGCCACGGAACAAGAAGTAATATTATAAACCCATCTTCAACTAAGAAAAAACAACATCTTTACAAATCCCCAAAAAAATGTAAAATCTTCTGCCTAAGAAAATCTTTCAAAGTATAAAAAGACCACTTCTGGCGAGTGTTTTAATGCTTTATGAAGATCAGAGAAAAAAACCAAAGTAATTCCCTTCTCCGCAAAGTGAAAATGGTATATTTTTGTGTGTAGGTGACTCCATTAGTAGTGGGCCTGACTTCATATCTCATATGATTGAAATTTTGTATTATTCCAGAAGAATAATTAGCAGTCCTGATGGTTTACAAATGCATGTATTGCTTAAATTAGATTGCCCTGAGCTAGACCACAAAACTGTCTTGGAGCAGAGGTTTCATGGGCAGAACACGTCCAGTTCATTTGCTCTTAGAGGCCAAGACTTGAAGCCAGAGGTCAGTACATGCTGTAGCTCTCTGCCACATCAAAATTTACTGAGAAAAGCACATAATCCCAGGGAAAAATCAGAACAGGCTTTGGGGAACAGACAATGACTCACACTGCCAGGAACTCCCCTGTGTCAGAGCAGAGTATTTCTGTTTTCAATTGCCCTGGCACGGGCTCTGCCCTGGCCCTGGGCAGCCCCACCACCGACCGCAGAACGATGCCGGCACAGCTCCAGCCCGCGCTGTGCCGTGGCAGCCTGCACCAGCAGACCCACAAAAGTGCTCAAAACATGGGTGCTTAAAGCAAGAAGGAGAAATGT